TTTTGCATATTTTCTCCTATTCAAAGAACTCAAAGTACTTTACTAGCATGATTTTTATTTTTTTTTAATTAATCCTACCCTTCTACAGGATAAGAGTTCTAATCGGCATTGTTTGGGATACAGTAAACCAGCACAGCAAGGGGATTTTGCAAATACCAAATAGGGTTCTGACCTCACCAACCACTGACCACAAGAACTTGTCATAAAAACTATAGATACTATGGATCACATTGTAAGAGACAAAAAACTTGAAGTACAAAATTAATGAAGTAAAATAACACAGGCATCATGACCTGCTGGCACCAATATCTGACCTTTATAATCACATTCAGAAACATGACCTCTGGTCCAGATTTCATTTTTACCAAAATCCTTTATGATTCTTTATATCCTTTATAATCAGTCATAAAAAAAGTGAAAATTTTATTTCTTTTATGTAATTTATTATTTTCTTTCATCCTGATGAAAGCAGAAAGTATAGTAAAGCTTCCTAAAGCATCCAAATAATTTAGGAATTGAAATCCAAAGTAAGAAAGTATATTTATACTTGGGTCTTATTAAGAACAAAGGGAAATTAAGTTTCTGTACTTCTGAAAATGGATATAGCTGAAAAAGTCTTGTATAAAAATTCAACTACACATACTACAGTGAATTCATGGAAAAATTTCACTTTTGCACTGTTATCGCTCCTTCTATCAAAACTTTTCAACAGATGCCTCACTCCCAGTGATTTCAAGAGCACTTACGTATGTTCAACTAAGGATAAGCCTGGTTACTTTGCTTAACTAGGCCTTGAAGAACAGTGGCAGCTGTTTCTGAAGAAAAGGGGCAACAATAAAATGAGTACCCTTAAAGAAGTAAGTTTCTTACAAAATCTTACAAATGGGAAAGTTTCTTCCACAACTATGGAATGATCTTGACTAACGGTTTTATTAATGTGTCAGTTTTCACTTCCAGAAGTGTGCCACATCAGTAAAAATTAATCTTTAACACAAAAGTAGTTGAGTGCATATCAGGAAAGCTGTAATTTTAGACTAGATTAAATATAAAAAGCTCTCAACACCAGCAAAACCCAATACATTTTGCAGGGTTAAATCTGGCATATGTGGCAAGCAAACGAGCTGGTTTTAGAGATGCACTGTGATATGTAACCATCATAGGGCAGCCCAGTCAAATACCAAACTGGAAGTCATTCAGTTGGTTGTTGTTCTGTCTCCAAATCAACACCTCCAGTTTCTGATTAATAATTCAAGAGATGTATAGGCTTTCTCTATTTTAAGCCCAGCTACTAAATTGAACAAATGTCAAGTTAAAAAGTTTAGGTTAGGAGTAAGGAGACAAAGTGATCTGGAAAAGAGAAGTGCAATTTTTATGTGAGCTTGGGCAGCTCCCGAAGTGAACTGTATCCAGTGGAAACAAGGTCTAAGTGCTGACGTGGGAGTTTCCCACAGATTCTATTGGCTTTCAAAGCCATGCGTGTCATCAGAGTCTCTTGCTGAAGCTGTACATAAATATCTAACTGGTATTAAAAAAACAAAAAATGTTCCACAGAACCTAAATTAAAGCCAGATGTGGAAAAAGCAGATGCCTGAAAATTACTGTCATTTCAAGACAGAGTAGGAACACTTGCTAATTTTATTATTTACCGAGTAAATTGTCATGCTAAGGAAGTCATGTAGAACATTTATAATTTCCTGATGCATGTCATGTTAAAGAAATAGGTGCTCTATTGACTAAAACCCCTGCAATTAGTGTGAACTTTGAACCACAAACGAAATCTGTGTTATGATTCCTATGCTGGTTGTAGATTGAATTATGATTATATGCTTATCAGTCATTTTAAAAAGATAAGGTAAAGTATGTAAAGATGGTATTAATACTGATAATAATCAGGTCAACAGCACAGCACTAGAACAGGAAATCAAACAATGCAAGTTAAAAAGATACTCAGTAAGTGAAATTCTTCCACATCTTACTGCAAATTGTATTGCTTTAATCTGGGCAAACGCAGTCTGTGCTAAGCATGTAGGGAGGTAAGGTTTTCATGGAAACTTCAGGCTGTCCAAAAACATTCTATTTAATGGAGTCAGCCACTCCTTCTGGAATATGCATGACTTTTCCAGAATCTCTTTTAAACAACTCAAAACTTAGAAGCAATTTTAAAAAATTAGTTTAGTATTTAGCTCATTAAAGCATGTATATACACACATCATGAAAGCAGCTAAGCATTTGTTAGGTGAATTAAAAAAAGAAAAAGGTTAGGTGTATGATTTAACTTAAGATGCAATATGCTGAAGCATAAGACCAGCATGACAAAACCTCCAGTTCTTCTGACCAAAACAAAACATTCTGAGTGAAACATTCAATTAAACGCTCTTAATGAATCAACATTTTAAGAATGATCCTTTTCAAAGAAGAACAAGATTGAGTAGTTTCCCTATCAGATGCAAGTTTATTAGCCTAATATCAGTGATTTTATATATGGAATTACAACACAATTGTGACATCACTACAGTAATTTTAAGGTTGGATGACACTTAACTTTACAAATCTATTTTCTTTACAGTGGAGCAATGTCACTGGTCAAATTTTACTGGATAGGAGGAAAGGAAAATCTTCAGCTACTAGAAGCCATTTATATGGTCTCCAAAGCCAACAATCATCTACAAAATCTCTTTGAAGAGTTTGAGTGCAGAAAGACAAGTAACTTCTCAACAGAAAAATCAAATATTCTAATTACAAAAATAGGCTATACGTGTCTTATGAACCCTCTCGCTACTTCTGTTGCAGCTTTTAGAATGCCATCTATCAAGAATGCCTTAAATCAACCTAAAGAGCACTGATCTTAACAAATCTAATGCCTCCATTTTAGAGAATACATTCTGCCAACAGCAGCTCCTAAGTAGCCAGAAACCTGAAAAAACATGTCGCAGTCTTCAAACTCAGCAATATAAATTGCACCAGCTGCACCATATGAGAAAAATGAGCTCAAAATACAAGAACAATTCAGCAGAAAACATACTAAAAGTCTCTTGTCCACCTAAAAATTTTAATAACTGCCACAAATTATGTACTGAGGGAGTAGTGGAGGACAACAAAACTACCTGCTTCAACAGTGGCAAAAAGTAACAAAAGAACAGGTCTTTTAATCTGAAGAAAGCAAGCATGGTCCAGAATCTGCAAATAATCTGCCTGTTAGACCTGACCATTCATAAATACAAACTTTATCAAGACTATTAAAATAGTTAACCCTGATAAAACAAATGAGTTTTTACAAAAATATAGCAATGCTACAGGGAAGCAATCAAGAAGAGTCGCTGGTTCTATGGTAGCTGGCCTAATTTGAATGCATCAGCTTCGAAAATATTTTGTACATCAGTTTTTCCACCTATAAGCAATGATTTCACCACATAAACCTCACTGTTTACCCCAAAGATTTTTGAAAGCACACTAATTCCATTTTTTATGTTAAACTTTGAACTTCAGTAAGTTTCAATAAACTCACACCAGACTTTACATTTTTCTAAATGATATAAAAAACCACCTGTATATATTCTGAAGCTGCAAAAGAAATTTATTAATTAATATCTGCAAAATAATATATTACTAACTAGGGAATTTTAATGGGTTTTAATGCTGTCATTAGCAGCCCAGACACTTCTTAGCAGCCTAAAAGTCAGGTATAGTAACCAGACTACAATCACTTTTATTGTTAACGAGTAGCACCTGTTAAAGGGTATTTGTTTTCCTTTCTTAGATCCCTCTCTAATATATATATATAAACTTTTTCTAGGTATCATCAGGCTGATTTAAGAATGCATCAGGTACTTCACAGTTTAATGTCTCCAGCATCTGCTCCAATTATTTTAAAAGGCTAAAACATGAAACAGAGAGTCAAGTCATCATTATCCCCCGCAAACCTTATTAAGCAACACTGTTGAGCCATTTCCAGCTGAATAAACAGCTATACCATTTGCACAGGCTACAGTAACAGAATAATCACATCTCAAAGCCAACTTCAGAAACATCCATGTGATACGACTACACCAAAATTTAATTATAGATGTAGAACAGTACAGACATTTGCTGATGGACTAAGGATTACAAATCATTATTAAAATACAATATTAAGACATATACCTGTTTCATTTTTTTATGGGACAAACTCAATATCACAGCTCTTTAGACACAGTTATTGCCCATGAGAACAAAACATACCCTAATTTCATTCCACATTACAACTTTTGTCACTAGACAAATAAACAGCATTGTTTTTTCCCACATTATAATCCATCAAGCAGTATAATAATTACATTTTGATTGACCTAAAATGATAATTGATTTCCTTATACCACATAACACAAGTCACTTGTTTTTGTTTTTTTTTTAAAGCAATACTTGAAAACTCAGATATAAAAAGTTATGATTAATTTAAGAGAATGTCTAACCTACCTAGGAACCTGTGTAAATACTGTGGTTCTTAGCACATAGTGGGCTCTGTGCTATCATAGCCACCTATAATCAGTACTTGTATACAGTACTCATAATGCTTGCACAAACTGCAGTTTACCCTGCCAGTGAAACACACCCTAAAAGACAACAGACAGGAACTTTCCTGATATAAATTCAGAACTGTCAAGCAACAACTGTTACTTAAAATATTTCTGTAATTTCACTAAATGTGACAAAAATAAAATGAATAATAATAATAGTGTTACATGTTTCTAACTAGATGTCAACACGCATCCCATCATCTATCCATGAAAAAGAATGATCTCTCATATCCAACAATATTTCTTATTCTATAGCATTAAGAGGACACATCTTATCTCACTAGATGGAATAAGCACGTGGCTTATGTAAATCATCCTGTAAATCAAATACTACTGCTTGATTCTATCAGCGATTCATTTAATCACATGGTTATACAGCTGAACATAAAACCAAGCACCCTTTACTGCCACCTGTTTATTCTTAACATCCGAATTGTATTTTCTTACCTCAGCAGCCTGTGTCTCCTGGTGTAATAAAGTTAGACCTGTCAAGTCTTCTAAGAAGGAATGTGAAGAATTAAAAACTTTAGCTAGGAAATTAAACCCTTCTCGTTCATACTGGTCAAGGACCTGTCAAATAAACAAACAGAAAAGTATTTCAAATATAACACCCATAACGTGATTCATCATCATATTTTGCTTGCAAAATAAAAGTACAATCTTTTTGAACACTCAGAAAATGACTGTATATTGCAAACAGGTAAAAATTACAGAGAAAAGAATGATCTTTTCTCCCAAATCAATTTCTAACGTGGGGAAGGGTGGAGGTAAGAGGAAAGAGGAGTGAGGTTTACGATTTACTGTTTTAAACATATTTTTAACCTTATAACAAGACATGATATGGCAAGAAGAAAAACTTAGTTGCAAAGTCACGAATGGAGCATTTGAGTTACACAAAACAGAGTAAAAGACTGTTCCAATGTATCAGTTAAGGGAAAGAACCATGCTGGGACAGACTGAAAAATTCTCCAAGTCAGTGTCCAAGTCCAACATCCTCTCAATCTCCAGAGATTCAGGATTCTGATACTATTGTATCTTAAAGGACTCTCTATTTTTCTGCTCTAATCTTCCCAGTTTATCTTTTATTTTGAGAATCTTAGAGTCCTACAAGAATTGTGAGGAAGGTTTTAGCCTATGCTCCTCTCAAACCCCTGACCATGAAGAATTTTACTTCATGCAGCTTTAGCTTAAATAACTATTTCGCAGGCTGATTTCAATCAACTATGACGGAGATTGAGGAAAGAAAAATATCAAAGATGAACATGACTCTACAAGTTTTGTGAAAGCAGGTAGCAACAAAATGAAAGAACTTATGATCGAGCAATCGCAGTATCCATTGTCTTCCTATTTTTGTTCTGAGTTCTACCACTGATCATTTAATATTCTGCTCTGCTGTCATCATTCTCACAGACGAAGCAGCTGAGCTTGACACACTGCAAAGCAACTTTTCCTATAAATATTCATGTAGCAGACCAGGACGCATGCAGGGACTTCAGAAACACACAATATTTTAATACAAAGGAGCAGTATATATGACATCGATAGAGATGCAGGGGAAGGATCATCAGTATCACCCCATACAGAGAAGATGCAAGCTCTTCAGAAGAGTCCATGGAATGGCTTAATCCATGAAACTGAATGCCTGCCAAAAACCTTGTAATGTGAAAGTTATCATTGCCTTTCTCAACACTTACATCTTCATCTCAATCGTCATCCTCCACAGATAATTCAATATCAGTTCAAGAGTGAAGGACAGAAAAGGGGGCTAATGATCAGGCAGTTTCACAGATGGCTGTTATTTTTCAGAATGGCTGCTATTTTTCAGAATGATGATAATTTCCAAAACCCAGCATCTGTAAAAGCCAGCACCTCTTCCAGTTGCTGATTCTGATAATCTACTCCTGCTTCTCACCCTCCCGACCACGTATGCTGTTCCTGTGTATTTAAACCCTGTGCATGTTAAGTCCCCCAATGAGTCCCTCCTTACCACATCAATTTTTACAAGCAACATTGCATTGCTGTCATATCACACTTTTCAGAAACACATCCTCTGCAGACAGTGGAGTTTAGCTGTACTTGAAAAAAGCTCCAGCATAAGCCCAGCACTCATTAAACACCAGAGAATCCGCAACCAACTACATCTCTAACTGCCCAGCCATGGGACAAGTACCAAATCAGACATCAAGATATGGTTCCAGGACTCCTGTCCTCAAAGAAATACTTGATTTTTCATTCTCTGATGTATAAATTTCCAAACAAATCACAATATTGTGCCCATCCATAACTTCTTATAGCTTATCTGTGCAAATCATGTATCTATTTTTAACTTCTCTCATTTTGGTGTAGTACTTGCAGAACAAGTAAGTGGAACACATGAAGTTCTTTTATACAGAACACTGCTACAGGGGCTGTGGACAACCTTTTTTCACTGTATATATTCTACCCTTATTTTGGGAGAGAAGCAGTAAGAGAAATTTGTACAGCTTAGGTACTCCTTAAACATATCCACTCTTACTGGACGGACACGTTCCCCGTAACCAGGGGAATTAATTTCCTCTGGAAAAGAAGAAAAAAACCACCCTGGAAGGACTGCAGTTTGTTCTATTGTGAAATAGGCAATTCAGCAAAGTGAGCTCCATTCCAAGGTTTAAAAATGAGCAGACAAGTCCTGCTACCCCTACCCCCAAAGAAGAAGCCATTCATCCTTCTTTGGACAATAGGGGGGAAAGGGGAGGGCAGGGGGGAGAAAATTGTTTCATTATGAATTCATCTAACTCAACCAAAATCACAGCTTACTCTCAACAATGTTACTCTTTTCTAGTTTAACAATCCCTAAAGGTCTCAAATAACCTTTGCATTGATAAATCTCAAAACTGCGGGAACTTGCACAGCCCAACAGCATTCTTCAGCAAAACACGTCCACTGAGTTCTACAGGAATTCAAGCTCATTTAAAAAAATACTTATATTTAGCTGACAGACTGTAAGTTTATCAGTAAAAAACAACTGGGATCTGCACTCAGATCTTCATGCAAAATGTCCATTTAACAGCAAAATTATCTACTGCATATTTAGGTTTCAAAAAAAACCACAAACAGAAACAACTGAAACACAACTATGAAGAGGAAGAAGACAGATGTAGGTGACTATGACAAACATTTCGCACCTTCTTGACCACACTTTACACTTCTTAAATAAATAAATAAATAAAAACTGCATTTCATGTTCTTACTAAATCTGGAGAAATTGTTCTTCATACTTTAAAGATTTATTTTGCCACACATGGGTTTTTGTGTATTTGTGCCATGACCCATAAACATAATCAGAAATTAAAAAAAGAAAAAAGGAAAGGAAAAAAAGAGATTAAAAAAAAGCTTAGGAGCATTTCTTAGGGTTTTTCTTGTTGTTTTTTATTCCTGAGATAAACACACCAAGACAAACTCATCTGACTGTTCACAATGCAATGCAAAGAACTGGACAACTTCAGCATCCCATTTGAGATGTGTCCTCTTAATATTATCCATTATATATATTGTGAAATTGCACTGTGAATATATACATACATTTAATGACTATCCTGTGTTTCAAAATGCTAATATAAACCCACCAGATGTGCAGAAGTCTCTTGCATCTGGCTCTTTGCAAAACACTGTAGTCAGACATCAACTTATAAACTTGGATTACGTTCACAGCCCTACCAGTATATAATCCTCAAAGCTATCAGCATTATCAAATGTGTTGCTACTGCTTTAATTCATTGGAGCCACAATACAGAGCTTATGAGACATCTTTTTAGTGATGTAGGCTAGATTATAGTTCATAGTATGTTGAAACAATATACAGCCTATACACAATGAAACTGTAGCCTTATTCTAAAATATTACAGCATATCAAAGAAATGCAGGGACAACAACAAGATATATTTGTCTCCTCCCAGAGGTAAAAATTGCTAAAAGATGTATACTGCCTTGGGATATGCAAATATTATGAACAGAGCAGGGAACTATGGGCAACCTTACTAAGTGTATCAAATAGCCTTTAAATCTGGTTGATTTTGTTCCTCAGCTAACTATGCCTTGATCCTCATTTCTAAATAACTATGACTCAAGCCTGACGTGAAAATTTCCAGGTATTGCTTCCTCAGAAAGTACATTACTTCAGTGTGTCAGGGTGCTCTGTATAAACTGCCCTGGTTTATTTCAGAGACGTGCTTAACCTTTCTATATTCCCTGCCATCACTATAAATGAATTCTTATGTACTCACACAAAGCAGACTGCATGACTACACTGAAATCCACAGTGTCTAGCATTAGCTTTGGATGAATCACCTGGAAGAATTTTTATTAAATCCAAGTGCCCTTTGTATTGTGATTAGCATTGAAGAGACTAGGAAGTCTCCCATTAAGTGTCTTTTAAAATATTAATAAAACATTAATAAAGTAAGATCACAGAACCATGAGTTGAAGGTATATAATTTTTAATATGACCAAATCTGCTATCGTTATGGAAAGATTTAAAAATGCATCTTCACCCTGTAGAAACTCCATCATGTCACACTGCTAGACTTTCCATGGCGCTACAATGGCTAATTTAGGTTAGGGTAACAAATCTGACTATAGACACAGTATCTTAAAAACCTAAACCTGAAGTACAACAATACAGAGAATTTTTCTTGTATTGGCACCCACAGAACCCTGAGAAACTTCATAAAAAAGTGTACTTGCTGATTATAATTACTTGTTTTTTATAATGGGAACAGCCTGCTGAATAGAAGTATCTGTTAACTAGTTTTAAAACAGAAATTCCACCCACATGGCCCAGAGAACAACACATCAGGGAGCCAAAGAATGACCTGGCAGCATCACTCTGTTTGTTACCTGAGCAGTGGTGGCACCATTAAAGAAGGCATATACAATAATGAAATCCTTTTAATATAGGCAGCAATTGAAAGAGCATTTTTTCACCTTCAGGGAATTTCCCAATTCAGAGAATTGAAACTTTAAAATAAATACCACAAAAGGGATAAACACCATTAACTTGCCCAAATCTCACATTTACTATACAAATTCAATAACAGCTCTCTTCTGATGAATGTAATGTGGTATATATTTGTTCAGTAGCCACTGAACATACCTCAAAAAGAAAAAAGAATGGGGCAAAATAAAACTCATCTCAAATTCCTGTGCCAGGAGACCACACAGGAATCCTCTGCAGGTCATCAGGAATAAAGCCAGTCTAGACATCAAATAGGCACAAAATAATTCTAAAAAATGTTTCCAGATTTAATAAGTACCCAATTTGTTGCTGTGTGGAAAGGAAATTTTCTCCTATTTAATCATGTCCAGCAGAGTCTAAAGGCCCATGGTTGGAATGAACTTGCTTTTTCAGTTCTTAACAGTTCTCTTTGCTGCTAACACTGTACTAGGTACCAACATGATCATTCTGAATAACAGCTTTACAGGAGGAAAATGTTTGAGAGATGTTAGAATTTTTGTTATTATTGATCTCAAATTAGTTACTATCTGACCGCAGATGTAAAAACCCCCTCACAAACTTCTGGGAATAAACATGT